CGGCGAGGTCTGCTTTCTAGGCCACCGTGTTTCGCAGTAGGGTTTTATATTTCGAATGCTGTATTGTTTTTGGTTGACCACGTGAGTTGGATCCCCAACATCTGGCCTTCCCTTCATGTCTTTTACAGGCTTTTCTTTTCGCCACACGATTGAGCGAGCGACCTTTTGCCTCCATCAGTGCACTTTTTATTAGTGGAATGAAAATTCTTTCATCCACCCCACGACTCTTCGCCGCTGAGATGACGGGGTTCTATTGGGATGAAATTGAGAATGATTTCAGACTTGGTTCCTGCGAGCTTCCTAAGAAATTCTTATTTCTTTTAATTACAATCATGCTCTCTTCTATTGGGGAGAGAAACATTCCCGAGGTGTTTCTATTGTGGAGATTCTCTCCGTTGTCGGTTCCAAGCCGAATAGGTGTTTTTAATCAATCTGTTGGGAATATACTTACCTTGCTGGCAAACGTTTTGAAGGTGCCACAAGTTGGGTTTTAGCACAACTTTTGCTTGTCGTAAGCTCTTTTGAACAACGAGCGACATGTCCAGATTTGGCATCACTGCGGTTAGTTTGAGCTCTCAGTGCCTTTTGCTGAGCTAAAACAGTAGCAGGCAAAGCTTAACCTGAATATTAGCCTAGTCCATGGCGAGCAGCAAAATCAGACGAGGGCGACCTGCTTAGACCTGGAGATGCACCAACAAAGCATCGATGTACACTGACCCGACTAAGCGATTCACTGTACATCGATGTGACACTTTCGCCGTCGGATACAGGATCTAATGGACCAACTGGTTGGGCGGTTCTCCATTGCACACTCCGTAAATCAGGAAAATGGTGCAAAAAGGAGAGTTAGCCCTAAAAGATGAAAACTTGGGGATCGAAACGAGAGTTCAAGTTTTAGGTGCCCTATGAATATCGCTATATCCGGTGTGATGCACGTCGTCAAACAGGTAGTGAATGATATAACGCGCAGCTGAAGGAGAGCCTTTTCAATTCTCCTCCAATTCTCCTCCTTACAGCAGTTTCCTTATTTTCTTTTTGGTTTTTCATAGTTGTCCTATTCGAAATCCAAATAAATGATTGTTATAATGTTCATAAAAATCATATTATATAGTTTGGCTACGGACTTTTCCATTCTAGTTCAGTTCTATTATTTTTGAGCGCAATGTTCACACTTAGGTGATCGTGAAGTAGGTCTTTAAGTCACGTTAGTTTTTGATGGTTGTGTAATCCTTGAGGATTACCGGGACGGAAGAATGATCAGTGTTATATATTAGAGTGCCATCTATAGAAAAGGTAAACATCACAAGGAACGAGGAATCGAAGATGGTCTAACAAGACGAGATACATGTAGTTCTGTGGTTACATGATTAGGAATGCACTTGAGAAAAAACGTCTAGCGATCCATGGATTCGTTGAACGTTACGAGAAGTGCACGTCCTAAAGACTCTGTATAATATTTGGATCCTTTAGAAGAAATTCCCATCCTAGACTAATGCTCACTTTGGAAACCGTCGTGCCACAGTCGACCCTTTCTCAATGCGACTGTAGCTATAGGAGCTCGACCAGATTCAGTGATTGAGATCCGTAATTGGACACAAAACCTTTCTACTTTTTCATTTTTTCGAAACTGTGGCGTTATCACGTTACATTGTTATCGCTGGGAGCGATAACGCCACAGTTACAAGAAATCAAGAGCACAAAAAGTTTTTTGTTGTTTATTGATCCAGAGGGCAGAATCTGGGAAAGTTCTCTGCCGTTATCTATACAGGCCTCGAGACGCATTAAGAAATCATCGATTGTGACACGCTACTGTGGGTTACCCCCTGAACACTTTGCATTAGCACTGTCATTTTGTCAGTGGTTAGGGCTCACGTTTGGCTCAACCTATTACCTCCCCTATGTCTATAGGAGAAAACTGGAAGGAAGGGAAGTTAGGAATGAGGATATTGTAAGGATTGCATCACATTTTCGCGGCTTCTGCTGCAACTGCAACTTAGAGAAACACTCTTTATATTCAAGAGGTTCAGAGATGGAATACTGGACGCTTGCAATGAGCGTGCGAAAGTAAAAACCCATGATCGACAGGAATCCTATAGAGTCAACCAATAGAGCTACGCCTTTTCGAACGCAGTTTTTCACAAGGATTTTAACATAAATATGCTATGTTTATTTGTTTTTCTTTTTCCTGCTATGACACTTATTCTTTCGTGATCGGACAATAACTAAACACTCCAACCAGATCAGGTCCCCCTCTGTTGACATTCTGTTTAGTATGATACAGGGAGCTTATATTTATAAGCCCACCATCGTGCTTTGCATTCAAAAAAATTAGAATTAAAAAATTAAATTAAAGAATTAGCAACTACTTAGGGATTTTTTAGCACTGTTAATAGATTCCTGATCGCAAACAAGCCTCATCAGGTTTATTTTTTTGTGATAGCTTTTGGTCTCCTCCGCGAAATAATTATAAACTCACCTTAAAAAATGAGCCATGTATTCAAGGAGATGAAATTCTCGGCTTCTCCTCGTTTAAGCGGGATATTGAAATCTCCGTATCATACTAATAAGTGCAGGCTGGAAAAATCATAGAGCACATGGAATACTAAAACTAAACCGATGGAGTTTCGCATGTAGCTTTTGCCTATTGGTTCTGTTGATTGGATGATCACTCTTTATTTTACTAAAATTTATAAGCTACAAGGTGCTGCTACTTCCATCTCTTGATGAAATGGTCACTCGTTTGTTTGGGCAAGGTGTCTGGTGGTGTCACGTTGCAGAATGAGTCGGGATCTACAGATAGCCTCCACAACCATACTTGCGGGGTTCAATGAAGTATTACTAAGGACGTCGGTCAAAACATGGAAGAGAAGCTATTATTGTTACCATAAACAACATTACGAAAGAACCGTGAAAGTATCATCGTCAGAAAATTGCAAGACCCCACAACAACTTTAGGAAGACATTTACAAGAGTGATCATAGAAGCGATTTTTCCATGACCATTGATAATATTTCAGCGACTTTTAGGAAGGGCTTTACAACAGCTTGCTCCCATAAGTTCACACTTCATTAAGCTCGCTGCTTTACTACACTCATGATACTACTGCGACCGCTTGCTCAGTAATTGGTTTGAACTGTAGTCAAAACAAAGCTAAAAAATGCACTCGATACACATTTTTGCCGGGGACTTTTGTGTTTTCAGCAGAAATATAAAAGCATGCGGAATCCCTCGCTATGGATCGAAATTCTAGTTAGCACGTTCTTATTTTATGAGCTACCAAAGTGCTCATTTATTTATTCATTAAGTGAAGTGTTTTGTCTGCTTGCTCGAAACTGCCAACTTTGTAAGCAACTTCTTTGGAACATTCTTACACAACAAGGTAGCGAGGCCGTGACTTATAAAAAGTTTTTCAACATTTTTCCGCACACGTTTATTGAATCATGGGACGAGAACACAACAAAACAACCGCATGTCTGCGCGTCAACATCACTACTCCCCCCTCCACCTGGTCTTTTATAAATATCAGTGGATAGTAGTGTCGACGTAAAGTATGGATAAAGCTTTTGCTTCATGGCTTGAAGCGATGGCATGAAAAACACCGTCAAGAGGAATTGCAATATCATTGTTCAGATAACCACTCCGATGTTTTTGGAAACATGCGCTGAGAGCAGCGTTCCGTCAGTTACATTTTTTTTTCATGAGTGCCCCTAAGCCTTAAATATTGATTCTTTCGCTTTTTTTTCTCAGAACCTTCTCATTCCAGGAACCGGCGGGCAAACGATGCTTTCCCGTGTGAGCAGATTTTCGGTACGATATCTTCAATTCTTTCGTTTATTTGATCTTTTCAGTCTCTTTCTCATTCACAATCGAGTGGCGCAGCAAGATGAGCGCGGCAACGTTAGCGTTGCAGATCAATGTCATTGGTCTGTAGCACCTGTGCTTCCGTCAATGGAATTCTCAAAACGTGGCCCTTCTTCAACCCAAGATGGATTGTGGTCGAAAAAAGGGGGAGGGGTGAGTCATTCGCCAGATCACCCAATGAACGCTCCTGCACACTCCTGTTCATCAGAGGGCTTGCCTTTGAGTTCGACCTATTCACAATGTCTGTGAATGTGAAGCACAACCTCCGCGGAGCAGATGGCATATATGTGTAGAAAGTTGGCTTTCAAATAGGCGAGACCGACATAGATTACGTTATAAGTCAACAAATGATTTCATTGACTCAAGGGAAACAAAACAACAACAAAGAGTAAATCCTTTTCACATGGCGTATGATCAGTAAACTCAATAAGCTTAGCTTTTCCTGCTCCGCAACTTTTTTCTATACATTCCATTTCTTTTCTAATTTTAAACCGCTACCCATTCAGGGTACACGCATAGAGAAGGTGTCCTTCTTTCACGTGTACTGCTTGCTCGCGTGGATTGCTTACAAGATCATTGCGTTGCTAGTTGAAATGCGTCATTGTATTAGGTTATTCGGAAAGTTTTCGACGTTTTTAGTAACTCGATTTTGAATGCTTTGTTTCTGTATGATTTCTAGATAAGTGCTATCGCGTTATATATCAACCAGTTTAGCTCCGCACGCAACTGCGCGCATCACATGTGGGATTCAGTGAAACTGGACAACTTGCAGAATATTAGGTCACGTGGCTGAGAAACTAATAGTAAGATGTTTCGGAAGATGTGTCAGATGAATTCAAAGGTTGTCCAATTTCGCTGAAGATTATCGCGTAATGCGCGCAGTAGCATGCGGAATGAAAATGGTACTTATCATGACTTCGTAAACATTTAGCATTGATATCGAGCTCGGATGATTTAGCGGTCTATAGAATTTTCCACAATTGAAGTATCGGTGTGGAAGTGAAATATTATCAATCAACTATGTTCCTTTCTATTGTAACAGTCGTCACCTTGTACCATCTACCCTTGTCACCGCTGTACAATGGTTAAATAAATAAATAAATAAATAAA